CCAATCTGTCCTCCCAACTAGTAGAAAATTTAAGCCAGCTTACATTCTGACTATTAATATTCAGGAGCTTGATTAAACCAGACCAAATTTCTTGTGAGAGGGCACATGAGAAAAATAGGTGATCCAAGGTTTCTTTAGCAGCACAGCAAAGTTGGCAGATTGAAGGCCCTCTATGCCCTTTCATCTTTAAAATATCATCTGCAGGCAGTAAGGAATGCCAGAGTCTCCAATCGAAGGACATAGAGGGAGTTAGGAATTTACCCGAAATGACTTTACCCCAAGGCATCTGGTTCCAATTAAAGAAATGATGGTAAATGTAGGCTGAAAATTTCTTGGAGTAAGCCTGTTCAGTGATTATTTTGTCTTTGGGAAAGGAAGAGATAGGAGTATCCTTAACCCACCTCACATGTTCACTGGAAAGAATAGTGTTCAGCAGCCTGGAGTTCCACTGATTTTCAGACCAAAAATCCCTGACAAGACACTGAGTGTTGGGATTGGGGTTGAGGCATTCAAGTTTCTCTCCATTGCTGACCCAGTTATCTAACCAAAAGTTGGTTGATATGCCCATCTCCTAGCTCATATACCCATCTCCTAGCTCCCAAATGAAGAGTTCCTCATCTTTATTTCTGATTTTCAGCAGTCTTGTCCATTGTTTGGAATCCCCTATCCTCTTGGATACCAAAGAAGGATGTAAAGATTTGCAATATTTCCCTTTTAGAAATCTAGCCCAAAGGCTATCCTGGGACCTGAATCTGATCCAGGGACCTGAATGATTTATGAAACCCAGGTGTTGGAAGTCTTTAAAGCCCAGCCCACCAGCTTGTAAAGGTTTGCATAATTTCTGGCCCCACCAGCTTGTAAAGGTTTGTTTGCATAATTTCTGCCAAGGGAGTCAGTGAAATTGCTTCCTTTGACCAGACCAGAGAAATTTGTTGAAGATCCTTCCATTGGAATCTTGAGTACCCTTTTGCATGGAGAACATTTGAAGGACATAAGAAGGCATTGCAGTGAGAATACTCCTCAAAACAGTGATCCTTCCACCATTAGAGATGAAAGAGTTAGTTCAATGTTCAAGTTGTGCTTTGATCTGATCAATGACATCTTGGAAATGTATTTGTCTAGTTCTGCCTTTGAGTAGATGTATTCCAAGGTATTTAATAGGGAGGTTGGCATAGAAGAATCTAGTATTTTAGAAAATTCAGTGCTTGAGCTGAGGTGTGGAGTTTTTATTAATAATAAATTGACATTTTTGTTTGTTGAGTGCTATACCTAAGGTATGCTAAAAGTGGAGAAGGCAATTATATACCCTCCTGATAGAATTCTTGGCAGCATTGGAGAAAATAATAATGTCATCAGCATAACCTAAATGGCTTATAAGGATATTAGATCTGTGATGGAAAGCCAAATGAGGTGAATTCGAAACCAGCCTATTCAAATATTCAACTGTCTTGAAAGGTAGTCCAGTGCAAGTATAAAAATGGTTGGAGACAAGTGGTCTCCCTGCTTGATCCCCCTTGTAGCATTGAAGAAGCCATGACACTTGCCATTGATCAGAATTGAATGTGCATTACATTTAAGCCATCTGTGTATCAAATTAATAAATTCTTCATTATAGCCTCTAGCAGAAAGAGTATCAAGGATGAATTCCCAATTAATGGTATCATAGGCTTTGCTTATGTCCAGTTTGAAAATGACATTTCGTCCTCTACAATTTCTGACAAGATCTAGCAGGAGTTCTTGTGAAAGAAGGATGTTGTCAGTAATATTCCTCCCTTTAAAAAAAGCCACTTGGTTGTCACTAATGAGATGTTGAAGGTGGGGTTGCAGCCTAAACACAATGATTTTGCTGATTATTTTGGAGATCACATTGGTTAGGCTAATTGGCATGTAATCCCCCCAAGTTTTCCTATTTTGATTCTTAGGTATCAGAGTGATGGTGGAAGTACTGAAATATTTAGGGGGGTCCACACCAAGAAAGAAGTTTTGGACAGCAAGAATAATTTCTTGTTTAGTCCTATCCCATGTGGCTTTATAAAAGGTAGATGTGTAGCCATCAGGTCTGGCAGTTTTGAGGCCATCAATGGAATCTAAGGTTTGTTTTATCTCATATTCCAAAGGGGTACTAGTGAGATTTAAATTATGAGCATAATGATGACAGTTAGTGAACATCTCAGTTTCTATAGGACTTCTAAAATCCAGCTCATTGGTGAACAACTTTTGGAAATGTTGGACTACATCATAAGCTATCTCATCAGCATTGATTAACTTCCTGCCATTGATATTGTTTATGTTTAAAATCATGTTGCACTTCCTTCTATGGTTGATACAAGCATGGTAGTATCTAGTGTTTCTATCACCATCAGTAAATTTAGTGACAACAGCTTTTTGTTGTAAGAAACATTCATGGTATCTGATTTGTGCAAGCAGTCTCTCATTGGCATGGTGAACTTCATATTCAGAGTTCCTCCCCATTAGTAAGCCTTCCTCCAAGTTATGGACTTCATTTTGGATGGCCTCCAGCTGTTCATTCACATTACCAAATCTTTCCCAATTCCATTTTTTCAGATGAGAGGCTAAGTTCTTCTGATTTAGCCATAATCTGATCCAGGGGTCAGCATGCAGGTTGGAATTCCAATTATTTTCCACTACCTTAATGAAATCAGGATGAAGAGTCCACATATTCTGAAATCTGAAAGGTGTATATGTTGGTCTAGCAGTATTCTGTATGGAACAAAGGAGAGGTCTGTGATCAGATCCAGCCATTGTAAGGTGAGTGACAGTAGAGAAAGGGAAGGTTTGAAACCAAAAAGAGTTGCCCAACAGTCTATCCAATCTTTCCCATAAAGTGCCTCTTCTCCAAGTGAACTTTGGACCTTGAAATCCTAGATCAAAAAGACCAGCATCACTGATGAAGTTGTTGAATTTGGCTATTGGAGAGAGTAAAGGGGCTTTACCCCCTTTTTTTCAATTGGAGAAGTGATACAATTGAAGTCACCCCCAAAATCCAGAAAGAGTTAATATCTTGTCCCAAAGTCATTAGCTCATGGCACAATTCTTGCTGGTATCTAGGAAGGCTGCTAGCTTAGATGAAAGATGCAAATCCCACCTATGCTGCAATAGCAAACTGAACATGAAGAAACTGATGATGGTTAACAAGTAAACTGCACTTAATTTCAGGTCTGACAAATAGCGAGATTTTATTAGTGGAATTAGCATAAAAAATAAACTTGGAAAACTTGTTGATGATGTTTTGAGCATATTTGGTGACCATAGGTTCAAGAATTGCAAAGCACCAAATCTTGTGAAGTTTGATGAGATGTCTTAATCTCAAAAGAGAAGAGGGGTGAGCCACTCCTCTAATGTTCCAACACAATATATTAATCATGGGAGCCTTAGCATTCCAAAAGGAATACTAATCACTGATAGGAGAAAATTAATAGAAGGTTGGGACCTTGACCTAGTTCTTCATCTATTATAAATAGAGGTATAGACAAAATGAGTCTTAGCCTTCCCATCCTTCATAGGAGAGTTTGTTCCTTGTAGAAGTTGTTGCACCTCAGAAATTTGCTTTTTCTTTTTCCTGGTTTTCTGAATTTCCCAATCTTCTTCCATGACCTGTTGCAAATGCATGATATCAGCCTCAGCAATGCTAGGAGTAACCCCATTAATTGGGGAACTTTTCATCACATTCTTTTTCCTTGTTTTCTGACTTTGCCTATCAGCTCCCAAAGCCTGTTGTACTTCAACAACAGCAGCATCCAGCCTCAATGAACAAAGGATTTTCCAAAACACACTTCCCTTTTTCAGCAAGTGTGGGGGATGGAGGGGTAATAATTCTGACTTCATTATGTTCAACCCTCACCACACAACCTGGAGAAGATTCCAAGTTGTTGTGGGGTTCATATAATTCCCTTAATTGATCACCAGAGGGGAAAGAAGCAGGAGGATTAGTGTTCCTATCAGAAGGAGTTTTACTGGTTTGCCCAGTCTCCCTGTGACTAATAGTAGTGGTATTAACAGTAGTGGTATGATTGCTTTGTCCCTGATTAGAAACGTGACTAGCTACCCTTGGATTCATAGATAGTTCTTTTGTCAGAGGGTGGAGCCTATAGCATTTCTCAACAGTGTGACCAAACATTTTACAGTGTTGGCAGTAAAAAGGCTTTTGTTCAGCAGTTATATCTTGCCAAAACCCCTCTTTATCAGAACCAATCAATATCCTTTTTATCTCAGGGAGAGTAATGTCTCTTTCCACCTGAATTCTAGCAAGAGCAGGTCTTTCCTTATTGAAAGTAGGAGCATCAACCTTGAGGGGAGTACCAAGTGCTCTCCCAATGTTAAAAAGTGCATTAAGCTTGAAGTAAGGTAATGGAAGACCAGCAGCTTAAACCAAATTCGGACCACAATAGGCTCCTTAGATGGATCAAAGTCTCTAGTCCATTTCTGGATTTTCATTGTAACTCCTGATATAGAAACAACTTGTTTAGCAAATAGCCTAACATAATCTTCTTCCATTGTGAGTTGGATGTTGGATAAGAAGATGTCTGTCATCTATCAAACCAAGTTTCCATTGTCCAATGAAATTTAGAGAATCAAAGAAGCTTATAACAAGGTCCATTTTGGGTAAGGTCCTAATAAGGTCTATTTTGGGATGACCCAACTGGAATTTTCCAACAAGAGTGAATTTAACTTCTTCGCTCAGTGAAGCAATTTCAGCTACATAGAAATAGACTGCAGTTTCTCCATCTTTGGAGCCCAAGGGGTTAATGCAAGGGCAGATCCCTTTGCCAGCAACAGCATTATGAATATCTTGAGGAAAGATTAAATTTGTGGGATCTTAGAGAGTGTCATTAGCTCTTCCAACAATCCCTGCATAAGTAGCCTTAGTCCAACTGGAATCAGTGTGAACATCTATGGGAGTGGCCATGACACCATCCACAAGGAGAAAAACCAGAAATTTTTGAGTAAAGAAACAGAGAACAGGACAGAAAGCAGGAGGCTAGCATAAAAAGCCAGAGAAAACAGGAGGCCTCCAATGGAACATTAACAAAGCCACCACCCATGAAGAACCAAAGAAGCAGTGAAAGGACCACCACAGCCTAAGAGAGGAGTGATGGGGAAAGACTTCAAAGTGAAGAAAGAGGAGAACAAGGCACCCTGATGAAAGCAACAGCCCCAGGAAGACCACCAGCAGCTCACCATGGTTCCAGAAACCCTAACAGAGCACTTCCCTCCTTAGCCGCCAGCATCCTGTTATATATATATATATATATATATATATTTCAGAATGATGGCTCGGTTTCCCTTTGCTCTGTTAGGGTTTCTGTGAAATGGATGAATGCTGTCAAGTTTGGGAAGCTGATTTTGGTTTGCTTTGCCTAATATTTTTTGCTTTAGTGTTTTTGGAGTATTTGCTAAGCTTTCTTCTGTGTTTGCTAAGCTTTCCCCTCTTCCTGGGCTATTGGTGTTTCAGATATTACTGTTCCATTGCTTTGGGGCTTCTAGTGGAAGCTTTTGCTGTGGAGCTTTCCTCTTGCTGTGGAGCTTCCTCTTGTTGTGGTCTGGTCTTGGTTTTAAAATTTGGCGTGCTTGGAGGTTTTCATCTTGTTTCTTTTAATTTTGCTGGCTCTATATGTTCATTAGGTGGTTGAAGGTTTTAATCTACTCATTTTTAGAGTGTTGCTTATTCTCTCCTATTTCTCCTGGGCTCACTGATGACTAAACCAAAAAATCAAGATCTGGCTACTAATATCCAGTGGTCAAAGGCCACTTTTGCAGAAAAAGTGAGGAAGGGTTTCAAGACCATTAAAAATTATGACGATTTAGTCTTTCCTCAAGCTTACCATGAGGGTGCTTACCCCTTATTTAAGCCTATTGCAAGGAAAGGGCGAAAAATGGCCATATTTTACTCTGAAGAAGACATCCAGGGTCTTACTGATAAGAAGTTCCAATTGGGTCACCCCAAGATGGAATTTATTAGGAAATTTTTTGACTGTCTGAAATTCAATGGGGCTTGGAGAGTGGGTTTATTGGAAGGTAGACACATTCTAATAAACCTATCCAGAGAAGAATACTATGGTAGACTATTTTATAAATAATCCATACTAATAGAAGGAATTTCTATGAAGCTTCTTAAGTGGACACCAGGTTTTGATCCAAGCAAAGAATTACCTATTGTTCCCATCTGGTTCAAGCTGCCTGGTCTTAAGCTGCATTTCTTCAATCATAAGGTGCTATTTAATATTGGTTTGGCTTTAGGGAGACCTCTCAAACTTGATGTGCCCATTTAATCTATCCAGAACATCAAGGGCTAGGATCTTATTTTAAAGGGACATTACTCTCCCTGTTGTGGAGGAGATTTGGCCTGGTACTGAACATAATGGTTAATGGCAAAAGATTGTTGCTGAACAAAGACCCTATTACTGCCACCATTGTAAAATGTTTTGACATACTGATAACAAATGCTTCAGACTCCATCCAAGCTTGAGAAAAAGTTAGGAAGCCAGTGGGGAAAGGGAAGAGAGGGGGATTGTGGTGGAGAATGAATCAAATGATGATAAACATGAAGATATTGAACCTTCTAGAGGTGCAGAGGTTGTGGTGTCTGATTCTAACCCATTCAGGGTTGGTTTGAATTCCATTGCTTGGGCTCCTGTGACTAGTTCTTAGGGTAAGGCTTCACAACACACTAAATATAATGTTGGGGAAGCTGTTAAAACTAATAAAGTTTTATTGGAGAGGGTTCCCCAACTTGTTGAGATTGTGCTTAGTGAAGAGGTGGTTAATAATCACATGCTGGTTACTCAACCTGTTGTTGAGGTGTCCCAAGAGGATGATGGAGAACCTCAATGGGCAGGCTCTCTGGATGATAATTTAATAAAGCGGATGAATTTGGCTTTAGAAGAGGACTGGCAAATCCAAAAATCTAAAAATAAAAAGAAGGCTATATAGGAACTAAAGAATTTTGTTAGTAATCCTTCCTCGGTGGGGAAGGGATCTTCTCAGCATGCTCCTATTGGGGTCAAAACTAGAAGGAGGGGGAAATCCACTTCCTTTGGATGATGAAATTTCTGTGTTGGAATGTTAGGGGATTGGCTCATCTTAGATCTCTTAATAGAATTCTTGCTCTCAATAGGAAGGATAAATTTTGGATTAATGCTATTATCGAACACTTGGTTTCTAAACATCTCTAGAGAATTATCAATAAGTTCTATGGTTTTTAGTTTTTCTCTAATTTGATTAATAAAATATGGTTGTTATGTAGAAATCAAATTTAGTGTTCTGTTATTAGGGACAATGAGCAGTTCCTTTATTTAAGCTTATCTTTGGGGGAGTTTAATGGCCTGACCACTTTTATTTATGTAGGTTGTTTAGCTCTGGCTAAACAAGAATTATGGTGTCAGTTGGTGGATATCAGCAGTAATCTGAGATCCTTTTCGCTTGTGGGGGGAGATTTTAATTGTGTGGCATCCCCTAATAAAAAGAAGGGGGGTAGATTGTCAGACTTGAATCTTATTAGTTCTTTCAATGAAATTTTTTAGAAGGTAGGTTTGTTTGATTTAGGGTTTTCTTGGACCCAAATATAATTGGATGAGAGGGAATGTATAAGAAAGATTAGATAGAATTCTTGTCAATGATGTTTGGCTGAAAGAATTCCTTCATACTTCTGTACAACATCTCACAATGAGTGGTTCAGACCATAAGCCTCTTTTGCTTACATTGCTGCCTCCCCTAATAAGATCAAGTCTTGTTTCAGGTACTTG